AACCCTAAACCCACCGTGTGAATGCTTTACAGGAGGTCAAACACTGGCTGATATTTTCGCTGCCCTCCCGTAGCCCAAGGCACAGGAGTCAATTATAATGCCCTAATGCTGTCCCAAGTGAGATCAACGGCATTGGCACAGCCCAGAAATTGAACCCGTGACTTTTTGATCAGCGTATGTGTTTGGCTCGGTCCTCGTGCAGGCAGCGCCTCCCATCGGGGGAGCTCTGGCTTGTTTAATGCTGACACGCAATAACAGGAGTGGGGAAGCTATTCCTCTCCCAAGGCTGCCGTTCGATAGAGCACTGGCCTCGCAAGCGAGACAACCCGGGGTCGATTCCCTGCCAGGGGGATACCTGAGGCAAGTTTCCTTACTCCACATGCCTCTGTAAGTAGGAACCCGTTGTTAGTCGATTGGTGGATCGCTTCTGCGGGCGTAATAATTCCTTCGAAAATAAATAATAATAATTTGGTCACTCAATCCACGACTGTTTGTGGGATACTGCTGTGCACAATTAGCTGATGCGCTTTGCCCACAAAATATACAGTCAATTCACTTTACAGTATATCCTGTGAAGGGCTTTGAGACGTCTCGAAGAAGTGATAAGCCACTGTATCAAATGCCAGGATTATTATTATATTCACATTTGCGCTGATGTGAACAAAACATTCAAAAAGTTTATGCACAGTTTTTTTATTAAAAAAACTCAACTTAATTTTGAGGGGGTCTAAGATTAATAATCATAATGATAATCTTCGCATTTGATACAGCACTGTAGTGTCAAAATGTCTCAAAGCGCTTGGCAGGGAATTGCTATCAAGTGTGATAACTGTGGTTTCTAGGCAAATGAATAGCATTCTTAATTTTTGTTACCACAGTGCTAGCTTGAAGAAATTGGATTGAAATTTAAAAACTTAGAAACTGGAGCATTGCCTCTTCTGAGTTATTGTGCGGTGCAGAATCCTGGAAGCAGGCTGGAGTTTGTTAAAGGGGACCTCGTGAGAATTTATCATCATTAGGGTTGACATAAATCCTATGTAGATACGCTAAAGGGGTAAGATCTCCTGTTATATGGATCATCTCGAGTGTAAGGAGATATGGATGGAGGCAATTTGAACTCCAAAAATTCATCAAATGTTGAATAGGGTTTGAAACAAAGTACATCGGAAGTCTTTTGAGTATGTACACATGAATTTATTATCAGCCGATAGCTGGCTTGAAAGAGAACAAATGAAACCCGTCTGGTTCGGGTTTCATTATGCACAATTGCGAGGTAAGTAAGATCCAGGTAACTTGGGCATTTTTTTGTTAGGTAGATAAGAATGAGGTGATCATTAAAGAGATAATTAGAATGGGCACTGTTTCCTACTTGGAGCTGCTAGTTGTTAATTAAACACTGTGCTGGTGTAGGATTGTATCTGAGTGTAACTGTACCTCGACTCAAAAAGTCCATTAATCACTTTACAGCTAATTTGCTGAAACGTGTTGATGGCACAGGTAGTTGAGAGGACCAAGGGCTGTCTGCCACAAACAAATGATCTTTATCCAGCGCTAACCTTCCACTCGGAAAGCCGAGGAGCAGAGCTCTGCGTCTCTCCCCCTTCCTTACCCAGCTCCCGATTGTGACGCAAATCTCAATGATAATTAATTGCTAAACTGGAGCGGTAAACACGGAGACGGTGCTTTGTAAAGAGAAGCCAGACTGGTGTGCCCTTGCCTGAAATTCAAACCTGCCCTCCATGGATGAATTAACGTGCATCATAATTAAATCATCAAGCCTTCCTTTTTAATTCAGTTGGTAACTGTAAACCCTCGTCCTTCAAATACATCCTTTTCTTGTCAGGTAACTGACAGGCTAATTAACCTGTTGCGATCCTCAGTAGAAGAGCATTTAAAACTGGCAGACTTGGAGGTATACAAGTTCAGAGCATTTACTTATCTTCTCGTCATCTGTTGGCTTCTTACTTAATGTAGACTTATCCTTACTTACAGAGTAGGATGGTTGCCTTGTTTAATCTAGTAGTCATTGAACATTGACGCTCAAGACAGTTGCTGAAATAAAGCTTTCCGTGAATTTTTTACCCAACCCATCAGAAAACCATTTTACACAACCAACCAGGAAGGTTTAATTGTATCCTATTCTGGAGGTGACATTTTGTGGTTGAGATGTTTAACTTTTCTGGTGAATGTCCCATTTTGAAGAACAAGGGAATCTTCTTCCCGTGTTCTGTCCAGTCTTTCTCCCTCGTCCAAATGCGCAGCAACAATCACTACGCCGCAAGGTAACTTGTTACCTGAAGTGCTTTGAGATGCGGTAAACTCCTGATAACTCGTCACTCCAGGGAAAAGGGCTTCAGTGATGAGTTATCCAGAGCTAGGCAAATGTATAAATACACAAATAAATTTGACCGGGATATTGTCAGCATGATGACTTAAGTGGTAGTGACAAATTAAGCCAAGGTTGAGTTATCAGGAGTTTACTGTTATTGATGTATTTGTTTGCTATTTTTAAATTCTGTGTTCCATAAAATACAGACGATTCTCTGTACTCAGCCTCTCACATACATAGCAAATCAAGTTTTTCACAATGTTTTAGGATTTTTTTCCTCATTGTTTATTGAAACTTGCCCTGAAATCTCAGACGCGTTAAGGCCAGATTTAATAATTCTGGCATTCTGAGATACACAACCATTTTGTTCCAGTTTAGCTGAGATGTCTGACCCTCACAATCCATCCTTTTCCAGTTTGATGGACATGGAAAATTAGTCAATTGATTTCTGCCTCTAGGGGCAGGAGCACTGTAGATGTTCCTCACTAGCAGCCTCTAGCATCCGAACTTGAGTACCACAACCAACACCATACAATACAATACAAATTTACACTTATGTACGGTACTCGAGCCTCTTTTACATCGGGAGGATGTCCCGAGGCACTAACTAAAACAGGGAGCAACATAGGCGAACGCCTATAACATCAAAATGTCTCAAAGAGCTTCACAAGTAATTGGTGTCCAAACCTGCAAACCCAGGCACTATGTATTTGGGCAAGCAGTGTGCCAAATTTCATGGCATGTATTTTTTACTTCCATTGGAGTGGGATTTATTTATTGTGCCAGTTGGTCATTCACTTCATGGCTTGCTAATGTGTGAATATTGGTTGCCTCGTTCGCCTACTAATACAGTCATTACACTTTACAGGAAAAGTCTGAACGGCTTTGAAACATTTTGATGTGACAAAGGCCGGAAACAAATGCAAGGAATATTTCAGCTCAGTGGAAAGTGGAACAGGAACACAATTAAAAGAAAGTCAATTCGGAGGCGCTGTTAAGGGGGTTACAGGATAAAGAGAAAGCTGTAAAAGTATTTCAGAAGACATTAACAAAGATTAAATTATTCAATTTAATGGTCAGAGCTATTTAAAGCTAATATCTTTGCAGAGCTGAGAGGGAATTTCAAGTCAGGGCCATGGGTCTAAAGCTTTTATATGCTAAATTGGGGGCACTTTAAGGTGCCTTAACCTGGAGTACGATTTACACTGGAGATTTCATCCCAAGTATAAATCCTGTTTCCTTTTATTTAATCGGAATTAAACTGTGCCGGTACAAATCTGGTGTTATTCGCCTCCTCGTACCTTTAAACTCAGTGCTGGTTTAATGTGGGGATCCCCAGTGTAAACCGACAAGTGGATCTGTGGCAGGAATAGTATCCGTGCTCCAGAATGCATTATTGTCAGCATATTTTGCGTTGTGACCCTTTAAAGTTAATCTGGCTGGCACCCGCAGCAATTTAAAGCAGAACAGCTGTAGGTCCCAGTATAAATAGGAGTCGAGAAACATTTATGACCTCAAAAGGGCTCTATTAGGGAAATAGGAAGTGCTTTGGTGTGTTGGGAATTGTGTAAATGGGTTATGATATAAAACGCCTCGGTCAATGTTATTCTAATAGGAGTGAGTAGAAATGGCAATGCTGGCATACTGTGCTTTTAATTGGGGAAATGTTTATCCTGTGTTTAGCCTTACGTGAGATGGGCAAGTGGTTTTAGGGGGGTTTGTGCTGGGTAGTGCAGTGTGTGTGTGTTTGATGGGGGCGGGGGGGATATTCCCATTGATCTTTCACGTCTTAGGATAACCAGATTGTCTCTTTTCTGGCTGTAAGCGAGAGACAGGGACTGTCTTAATCCAGGCCCAAATGGGTAGGAGAGCAATCATTGGAGTTGGGATTCTCCGTGACAGGACACAAGGAGATAGGAATGTCACACAAAGGGAAAGGTGGCTTCATTGACATTAAGTCAGGTTTCAGGCGTTCTGTGGAGAGCTAGGCTGCACTGCTCACCGAACATGGTAAATTTGAAGACCTGATCTCTGATGATGCACTTGAGTGTGCTCAATGGCCTTCCCTTCTCTCCCTGACGTTTTCTGTGCTTATGCTTCACGTTAACAACTGAGAGTGGAAAGTGTTCCATTCCTAATCTTCACATTGAGAGCTTTGCAGGTAAAGAGGGGTCGTCAGTTGACTGTACTCGAGTTTGAAGCGAGTGTGAGCTTACAAAAGAGGAAAAAAAATTAAAATTCATGGCTTTATTTAAGAATTCTGCTGTCTGAAATTCCATCTCATCTCAGCCTGTAAGAGATCTTTGTCTTAAAATGTAACGTGATGCGGAATTGCGGAAAATTCTTAAATTCGGATTTAATGAGGAACTTGTTTTTCAGGCCCGGTTTCCAAATTAAAACTGGATTGAAGAATTTTCCACAAGTCTGTACCATCTTATATTTTAAGACAAAACCATCTCGCACGCTAAGGCGAGGTGAAATCTGGGGCCTCTATAGTCCTTTTGCATCCTTCGCTGTTGTTGTGGAACTGAATTTTTTCTTGAAAATGCTTAACTTTCAAACGCATTAGAAACCCAGCAACACTACCTGTTTTAGTATTTGTGCCTTCTTCCTGTGTGCTGCCTACTTGACTTTTAGACTAATTAAGTTTTTTTGTTTCATCTCTACGCAGAGCACACCACACCCCAAGTGGGAAGATCCTAGCAGTTAAGGTAATGTTATTGTTTTTCCTGACAATTATTCCTGCAACAGATGTGTTCCGGTTATATTGGCGTTTGTCACTTTACTTTTATTGCAAGGGTTTTATGGCTACAGATTTGTACACATTTTAAGGGACGTTTGCTGTTCACCAATTGCAGCAAATGTGTGCATGTGACTGAATTGCCGCTGAGTCAAAGAAGTTGTAAACTATTAATTATAATTATCGCTCCCGGATTTGAAAAATATGCTTTGCGTCTTTTGTTTTATGCTCTATGTGCAAATTGGACAAGACAGGTGCTGGCTGAGTTAACTGGGTTCATCAGTCAGGGCTAGAGATGGACTCAGCACCCCTTGGGTTAGGGAGGGGGAAATCAGACAGAGCTCCTGTTCCTGAGGACGGGATGGGATTCAGCTGTGAAACATCCCGATGACACTTACTGTCGAGACTGCTCGTGTAACGGTCAGTGGGGTCAAGTAGCGTCCTCCGAGCATGCAGTAACTCTTTCAGGGGAGGAGAGACAAGGTGCCGGAATCTTACAACGAGGAACAGACCAGAAAAATTGTCTTTGCCAGAGAGCTTTGTGTTCCTCTGCAATCTGCAGGTTCCCCCTGAGCTTCCTGGGATGGGGTACGCAGTACAGGACGCCAGATTTATCCGATTCATTTGCTTTGTGGTTTTAAAAAAAGAAATTCTGGGATTAATCACTTTCCCCAGCGTAATAATCCCTCCAAGAAATAATAATTTGGTCACTCAATCCATGACTGTTTGTGGGACACTGCTGTGTGCCATCGACTGCTGAATTTCACCCACAAAACACACGATCAATCCACTTTACAAGAAATTCTGTGAAGCACTTTGAGACGTCTCAAAGTTGTGATAAGACACTATAGCAAATGCAAGGATTATTATAATCATTGTTCCTCAAACGTTCCTTTAATTTGTTTTTAAAAGAAAGTACAAGCACCACTATTTTTTTTCCTATTCTGTGAAAACAACATTGAACCCTCCCCCCACCCTCTAAACTCCTTGTGTAGAAATATTCTTTCTGTAAAACATAAAGGCCAAACGGAGGAGAAAGTGTGAGCACGGTGCTTACTGTTCTTTTATAAGTGGCCTTGATGGCTTCGGGGCATGGCCCAGAATTTCAGATGCTTAATTTGATTAATCATTTGTGTACCAATTGTGCATCCAAGAGGCTGAAAGTACATAAAAAGACAATTGTGTCAGCGAGGGATTATATAAGTAAATTAAACTGGATTCGTAGCTTAATATGACCTGTGATTCTGCACTGCTTCCCTTAAGTGAAATGTCTGCAGCTCCTGCAAATAGACAAAGTCATCCATGTCAGCCAGTGATGAATTGCCTTATTTATACTGTATGTTTTAATAGCTTGGCACTAATTTAAGTTGAGCACAAAGAGTAAATTATAATTCAGTCAGTTGACTGCTTGTATTTAACTTGACAACTCATCCTTATTTGTCCTGGAGGTGTATTGGTGATCTGAACAAATTTACTCAGGTACTCACTCCACTCTCAGCCTTAAACGTTATTCCTATTAATTGAGGAACACTAGGATGTGTGGAAGTGAATTATTCCAGGCTTTTTTTTCACGCACTGGGACACCCTGAGTGAATTGCGTTGCCGAATGACTATTGATTTCCGAGTACCCGTTTTAAATTTTTCCTGGCAGCAGGATATTACAGTTACAAGTCAATTTAGAGCAGCTTTTTGTAAATCAGCCTACAGCAAGGCTAAAAAAAAATGGCTTTGCACACCGTATTGAATACATCCCTGGCTATAGGAGAGTGAAGGCCCGAGCCCCATTCTGTGCTGTTTGCCCTTTCTCTGTTCCCAAGCCTGGCTGTGTCTCCTGTTTGATGGGAACCTAGGAACATGCAGGAATAGGGAATACCATTTAATGGTCCATATTGCTGAACCACGTGATTTTTCCTCATCTCCCTTTGATTTCTTCCCCAAATCTTGGTCTAATTTCAGTGCCTTGGGACGTACGTCCTCCCGATGTGAAAGGCGCTATACAAATGTCATTTGTTGTTGTTGTAATTTCCTTTTAAATTTGTGGACAAAATCTGCCTTTACAATCTCCCACATACTCACCACTGTAAATATTACTCCTCTGTAATTAAATCCAAACTGTCTGGTTCATCTTCCCTCTTCTAATCTTGGCTCTGTCTCACTTTGACTGTAAATATTATAATATAATAATAATAATAATCCTTGCATTTGATATAGCGCCTTATCACATATACGGGATGTCTCAAAGCGCTTCACAGAATATATTGTAAAGTGTATATTTTGTGGGCGAAACATGGCAGCAGACTGCACACAGAAGTGTCCCTCAGACAGTCGTGGATTGAAGTGACCAAATTATTATTATTTTCTTTTGAAGGAATTATTACCCCCATAAAAGCGATTCGACAACTGACCAACAACTGGGTTCCTACTTACTGCCAGGTAAACCGAGGCGTGTGCAGTAAGGAAACTAGCTCAACATTTCGCCCTGCCTGGGAATTGAACCCAGATCTCTCGCTTGCGAGGCGAGTGCTCTAACCGCTGAGCTACAGGACTCCATTGCAATGGTAATGATACTGGCCAATGATGACATTTCTTTATCAATATCAAAATGTCCCCATTATTTAGATAAAATCTTCCCTCAAATTTATATGATTGACTGCCCTCTCTTATCTCTTCCCAAAACAGCCAATGTTACCTTCCACTTGTCTCTCTCAGTACACCTACCTTTGAATTTTCTCTCATTGCCACCTTCCTTCCTATGGCAATCTCGAATTTACTTTGACCCAAACCCAAAAGTCTCGATCAGTTTTCTTCCCCTGTTTGTTTCTCTGTATTAATATCACTTATTCGCCTCTCCTTTTCGTTCCACTCTCAATAATTTATGACCACGTTAACCATATTGAGGTTCACTCTGTTGAGCTTTGCTTGTGTGTGTGTGTGTTTTTTTTACTACCCTGTGATCTCTCCCAAACCTAGTCTTGTCGTGGGAAAGTTGTCTGCCTTGTGATCCCCGGACTGATCAGCTTGAGAGTCTATAGCAAGTGACTACCATTTGCAATATCAGTAGGAAAATGTAGCAAAACCACTGAGTAAATATATCTCACCATCAGTGGCGGAGCCAGCGCTGGGAGAAAGAAACTCCCTTCTCTTTTCGAGGAGTGCATCTTTAATGTTCACCTGAACAAGCAGACCGGATGTTTCGCCCACAAAACACACAGTCCCACTACACTTTGCAGTATATTCTGTGAAGCACCTTTGAGACGTCTCGAAGACGTGATAAGGGGCTGTATCAAATGGAAGGATTATTATTGTTATTATTATCTTGGTTAACGTCAGCCGATACTACGCGAGTTCAAAGTCCTAATATGGGTCTGGAACTCATACCCTTCTGACTCAGAGGAGGTGAGAGTGGCACCAACTGAGCCAGGTTGCATAAGGGAAGAGTGGGGGTGGGGGAGCTGGTATGGACATCTCTTCTAAATAACAATGCAAAGTGCAAAGTAAAAACTCTCTGTAGGAAAATAGATGGCTGACAATGTTACACGGCTGTAACTCAATCAGCCCGCTCCTGTGAGCATGTAACATAAGCGGTTTATTAAGATCAGCAGCGACCCGCAGATTGAATTACTGCCTTAATTGCACTGGCTGCTACTCATTGTTTTAATATAAACTATATTTTTCTCTACATATATATATATTCTTTTAAAAAGCTGTCTATTTCTGAGGCAAATTCAGTTGTCGAGGTGCGCTCAGTGGCTGAATTCTGCATTGCGACGTAAAGCTTTGCAGAATCCGGGGGCAGGAAGGCAGAATTGTGTAATGGAGGACTGCACACCGAGGGACATTGCGCTCCCAGAAATGCCCCAGTGAAGCTTAAACCGCTTTAGGTTCCCCCTCCCCATCACCCCACGTTCAAATGGTTGTGTCAAAATCCGCTTTGGGCAGACATTACACCAACCTTCATATTGGCCACCACCCTGATCCCAGTATATGTGGGGTGGTTGGCAGAATAATAATTATAATAATAATCATTGCATTTGATACAGCTGCACATCAGGTCATTGCGATGTCTCAAAGCACTTCACAGAATATATTCTGAAGTGAATTGACTGTATATTTTGAGGGCAGATATATATAACTAACTTTAAAAGGGTTCTAAAAGGCCACTTCTGCATTACAGCTTTAAAACAACTCCCTTGTTTCAGTCATTGGTGAGACTAATCAACTTTCACTTGGTGCAGGAAACTGATGTATGTAAATTGCTTGCGTCGTTGGCACACAAATACAGGCACTACACTTGATAGTAATTGCTCGCAGAGTTCCATGGGGAGTTCCTATAAAAATGTTTTTTCCCCCCTCCGTGTCTCTTTAATTGTATATCGGAATTGTATATCGGAAAAAAAGTTGCGCTGTATTTGGGTAAAAGTCTAACTGAATATCTAACTGTATATTGCAGGTTATTCCCTTAGACATTACACTGGAGCTTCAAAAACAAATTATGTCCGAGCTGGAAATTCTTTACAAGGTAAATATTTTTTGTTTTATTTTTATTTAGTTTCACCCACAAGGTACACAGTCACTCCACTTTACAGTATATTCTGTGAAGCGCTTTGAGACGTCTCAATGACGCGAAAAGGCGCTGTATCAAATGCAAGGATTATTAATATTATCGTTATTATGAATACCATTACTATTAATACTATTATTAATATCATTATTACATTTCCAACATCTGGCTGCTAACTTTAACTTTGCTCAAATTGTTTAAATTTTAAAAATGATGTGTTTTTTCTCTCTCTCTCAAAATGCTTCCAGTGTGATTCGTCATATATAATAGGATTTTACGGTGCGTTTTTTGTGGAAAACCGAATATCAATTTGTACTGAATTCATGGACGGTGAGTTTCATTGATATTTTTGACCTTAGAGTTAAAAAAAATTAAATGATGGGTGGATTAGCGGTGTGTGTGTGTGTGTTCTTTAATGTAGGCCGATTGTTAAGTCATGTTAAATACCTGGCTATTTTTACAATGCGTGCGATCTTGCCAGGTTACATAAACTTGAATTGAACTGAAATCAGACCCATCTCGGTTTACAATGCTTCGAAAGTAACCTGAGAAATTGTATTGTAAAATCTTTTGCTTTATCAGAAGGAACATGTACGCTTAAAAGTGCAGCAAACATCCCCGCAGTTATCACTGAATACAGCTAGATTTGAAGGCACTTGAACTATTAGCCGAGACGTGATTTAAAGTGCCAGATATGGCACGTTTCAATTTGGAGGAAAGCTTAGAGGATTTGTAGGAACTTCAACAGTACGTTACGAGGTCTTGGTGCATTGAATAGAGGCAGATTACTTTAGGGCCGTGTGGATTTTGTTGCATTGTAACGCAAAACTAGACAGGAAATATCGAGGGCTAAAGATCTATGCCCTTCGTCAACATATTGTGATTGTCCTTGAATCAGTTCGTGCCTCCTTGGTCTGGCAAGTTAGAAGAGATGCTAATGGTTGAAAAGCACTCCAGTGTATAGACAGATTCCAACTGGGCTGGATGTCATTTGGAGCTTTGTCAGGTTAACGGGCCATGTGCCAAACTGGAAGAGCAATCTTCCTGTAACCCTAGCCAGTCTATCCCCTTCCCTGTTTCTTCTTCCGCCCCCGCTTTCCCCAATTCCTGTAGATTCCCAATGTCTGATTTAAAACCAGGATGAACTATACTGGCCACTTGGTTCTCAAATCGTCTTCACATGTGCACTCTGTAGGAGTGACCACTGACTAGGGATAAGAAGCTGGAATCCTAACTGATTTTCTCCCCAGTCCCCCCAATCAGGTTAAGTAATCTTTCCCAAAAAATTGTGGACAGTAACTTCATTCAGAGGATAATGGCAGACTAGTCTGCATTTTCATTGTCACATAAAATAGTCAGTAATTAAGCCATGTTTTGTGAATCTGTTTACTTTTGTTAAAAATATTACGGACATCATATCAGATGCAAGAATTATTATTATTGTAATCTGGTGTTTAAAGTTAAATTGCCCTGTGTATTCCAGCATTTTATTGTAATGATTCTAAAGGTATGTTAAGTACCACAAGCAACTGAATGTTGTACTTGACCTTGAACCAATTAAGATTCTCTAATATATCATCCAGGCTGGTAAGACTCGGAAGAATAGTAATTTATTCAGCAGCTCAATACTTAATCATGACAATAATCTTTATTTTACTTAATAGCCGCTTGTGTTTCTTATCCTGCTCTATTGCAATCTGCAGGAGGCTCTTTGGATGTTTACAGTAGGATCCCTGAGCATGTACTGGGGAGAATCTCTGTTGCGGTAAGTGTGTGTGTATGTGTGAGTGTGTGTGTGCGCGTGTGTGTTTTAAATAATTTTTTTAAAATTCCCCAGGATAATATTTGGGGGAAATTTACATTCTGATGTGTAGAATCAATTCGAAAATGCAAGGGTATCAGCTATTGTAAAGCTATTATAAATGTGTGTCTACACATATATATATATTTGGGTATCAGAGATGAGATATCAGTGCCAGACATAAATTGCAATTTGCATACTTCCATTGCCTGAGGGCTCTTTGGAATTGTAGCCACGGTTAGCTGGCTAAAGATTACAGGTAGGTCTTTTTAGAATAATTAGATGTAACACTTCTATAATTTTTGGGTTGGTTGGGGACACCCTAATGTGGGAGTTTGTTTTGAAGGCCTTTCGTGATGACCATCTGAACCCTTTGTTTGCTGAGAGGAGTATAACAGCGGGGGAGGTGAGCACTGTTCATTATCGCAGGCTAAACAGGCTGACTTCCCCTTTCATTGGCTGAGATACAAAGCAAAGTCAGCCCTGGGGGGTGGTGGCATCGTGGAGAGGCAGGGCACATGTTCATGTCGGTGATTCCACACTCTGCCACTTCCCCTCGCTACCCCGAGGCAGCCCCATTCTCAGTCACTACTGGCTATCGATCGGCCACTGGCCACGGTGTGCCATCACTGGAAGACGAGAATCAGGTTCCCACCTCTCATTGGGAACTGTGCGTGTCCTGGCCTGTTCTTGTTATCCTATATGTAGTCCTATAGTGTAGTGGTTAGCACTCGCCTCTCAAGTGAGAGGACTTGGGTTTGATTCCTGGGAGAGAGGGGCAAAATCTCAGGCAGGTTTCCTTACTCCACACGGCGTTGTTTACCTAGTAGTAAGTAGGAACCCAGTTGTTAAGTCGATTGGTCGATCACTTTCTGGGGATAATAATCCTTCCCCTCCAAAAAAATTGGGTCACTCAGTTCCCGACTATTTGTAGGACGCTCCTATGTGCAATTGGCTGCGTGTGTTTCGCCCACAAAATACAGTCAATTCACTTTACAATATTTTCTGTGAAGCGCTTTGAGACAACTTAACGACGTGATGATTCAAATGCAAGGTTTATTATATTATTATCACAAATCTGTAAACAATCGAATTTCACAAAGGTAGAGAATGGCGGAGGATTGACATTACTCCCGAACCCAGAAATAGAACAGATCAAGTGCATCACTCGTGCAGTAGCAACAACAACAACAACAACAAGATTCCATTTATAAAGCGCCTTTCACGTCAGGAGGACGTCCCAAGGCGCTGCACAGTTGGGTCATGACCCGAGCAGGGGGGAAATGGTCAGGGTGAGGGGAGGGAGAGAGGAGGGGGGAAATGGTCAGAGTGAGGGGAGGGAAGGGAGGGAGCGAGGAGGGGGAAGAGAGTCGAGAGGGGAGCTGAAGGCTCGGTCAAAGAGAAAGGTTTTGAGACCGGCCTTGAAGGAGGAGAGGGAGGAAGCGGCGAAGGCACTGGGGGATAGAGTTCCAGAGCCATAGAGTTCCAGAGTCCAGATCATGTAGTTCTGCATTACCCCGGCTATAAGTTCTCAAACTCTCTCTATCGTGTTTTCTCTCTTTCTCACACACACTTACATACAAATTATCACACTCTAACCATCAATACACACGCACAAAATTGTCCTTTTTTTCCAGAGCTTCTAAATTTGGATTCTTTCGCTTTCCATTATTATTGAAACCGTATCCCCTCGTATCTCCTTACTCCCCTCCTCATCTTCCATCTCCGTCTGCTGGCTGGCTGGCTGGCACTGTGATTGCTGGGCGGTCTGTATTATGAAATACACCAAAAACAAACAATCCTCTCGCAGTGGATCATTGAAAGGGATACGACATTTCGGAGGTGAACATGAGCCACTCGAGGCAACATGGGCTGATAGTCCTACCAGTGACCTCCAATTCAGACCGACAAGGGCTTGTGTTTAAGGAACGATCTCAAATTAGAAGGATGATTATGTCGGCTGGGCCCGTCTTATGATATCGTTAGCATCTGTGTTTGAGACGGATTCCATGACCTGTAAAATACTTTGTGCTTTGTGCTTTCCCCCTCACCCACCCCACCACACACACTCCAAACAGGGTGCCAGGAACACGTCTTCCATCATTTCTTTCTCACTTTTACAGCGTTTAGACCACATTAGAAAAGTCAAGAGTGGAATGTTTTGAAGGATGGTTTTCTCCCTCCCTCTTCCCCCCCCCCCTCCCACACACACACACACACACACACACACACACACAGCCAAACTCCACTAGTTAAATAAGAATATATTCTGAAATATTAAGTTAGCTCCAGTTGATGAATTCTCTTTGAGTTCCCAAGATTTGCCTCTTTGTCAGAGCTTTTGGACACCTTTCCCCACCCCACTCCTCCCTCTCCTCCTCCCCCTCCCCCCCCCATAGCTCAGGTGCTCAGCCAGAAGCATAAAGTGCTTTGAGACGTCCTCCTGACGTGAAAGGTTTAGTATAAATATAAATTGCATTGCATTGTGTTTTTATTCACTGTAAGTGTCTTTATTGCTTCTCGTTTACAGGAGGAGAGCGGAGAAATCTCCCTGCAATCTACAGCATTTAATCATATGTCGCGTTTCTCCCCATGTTGGGCGTTGTTCTTATTCTGACATTCATTATCCCTTGTAGTGACAATTAATTTAAATCCAAGTGATCGAACATCGACAGCTATTTAGTCTCAGTTCATTCTAATTCACAGACCCTCATTTTCACAAAGTCCTGTAATTATCTTCAGAAACTGCCCGGAGCAATGAAAGCTTCCTTGTGCAATATTGGCTTTTGTCAGTCAATTGGTGGTGATGTGCTGCTTGTTACAGCAGTAACTTAATGTATAATTTTGTGAGTTCTTATATATTTACACAGCCCAAAATGGGACGATTTAAATACAAGTATTGACTCCCAGAGCAGGAAAACAAAAGTTCTTTCATCGAGGCAATTTTTGGTTTCAAGTAATGAATGCCACGAGCTGAGGATGGGCAATTATGTCGTTTCTCAGGCCCCGCCGTCTCGGATTCTCTACATCTCGTTCTTGTCTTCCTATTGTTTGTTGGTTGAAGCCTCACGTTGACTGTTCTCCGTTGTGGATTTCTGCTGCTGGGCTACAAGCAGCCGAGCACCGACTGAGGTGGTTAGAAGCTCTTTGGCTGAGGAGCTTTCACAAAACGAAACCGACTGTTTAGTGTTATTCCTCCCCGGCTCCCTGTCTGTTCCTGGGCTCAGTCGCTGCTGGTGATTACAGCACTGGTTGGAAGGTCGGCTTTTCAGGAGGGACTGATTGGCCCTTTATGTATATATATATATATCTACACAACACACGAGGAAAATAAGATGTTGCAGCCGGGCTCATCCCGGTACTTTGTCTGAACAAAACTCATAATAAGGACAGTATTGTGAGTTTTGAGGGAGAATTTCTTACCAAGATCCCTGGTTATATTAAGTTACTTGTCCTTTCAACGACTCATTCACACGGGTGGTTGTGTACACGCCACTAAGACTGTAGCTTGCGTGTGCTCCAGTCAGCACATTAATATGTTGAATATAATCTAGTGACAGGGCCCGCTCCTCTGCTGTTATCCAGCTCTGCTTTTTGTCAAACTGAATCGGTCAAGACACCATTCTCCTTGGCTATCTTGATTGATTTTGAGTGACTAAGGTGGATAGATTTTTATTAGGTCAGGGTATCAAGGGATACAGGGCAAAGGTGGGTATTTGGAGTTGAGGTACAGATCAGCCATGATCTAGTAGAATGGCAGAACAGGCTCGAGGGGTTGAAAGGCCTGTTCTATATTCGTATGATTTTTTTTCCCCCCCAAATGAATTGTAATAAATTGTCTTGTAGAGAGACGGAGGCAAGCTTGGCGAAGATTTTGGGGAATTGGGGAAAGAAGAGGGTTATGTGTGAGCTCCACACTGGGGTATTGAATGGGAATTGGAGATGGAGAGCGTTGAGCAGTGTGTTCCCGAGGCCCTGTGGCTAAATAATTCTCAACTCGTACATAAACGTCTCCATTGTTCACAGAGCACATTGATGGTATAGTTTCGTGAGAACTTTCTCTTATTTGATCTCCGGAGGTTTCCATGAGGTCTCATGCATACAAACCTTTGGTCCTGATTTCATATTTTTCATTTGCGTGCACATTCCCTTTACCTCGCACAGCCTCCAGCACCGGCGAGTCTGATTTTCTTTTCTAAGAATGCACTTCCATCACTAGGCTGAGCCGCCATGATCTGCTTGAGAAACATCTTAATAGATGCCAGGGATAAGACCGGGCGAAATCCTATTTGCATTAGATTGCCGCGTTTTTCTTTAGCACAAACAGTGGACGTGGTTTGCTGTGTGTCCCATCTCTTTGGTGTGCACCACAAAAAGCAGGGGAGAGTTGAGAAGAACGCCCTTTACTGTTTCAGCATCGTCCAGACCAACTCTGCCTTTGGAGAACTCAGTGCCCTGCTCCGCCAATGTCCCAGGCTGGTCGGTTTAGGTGTACCTTCAATTCAAGCCAGAGCTTTGAGACATCCAAACGACGTGATGAGGCACTATGTCAAATGCAAGGACTATTATTATAGAGTATGCGGATTTGGGCTTCACCTCGGGTTGCGAGTTTGCAGTCTACACTGATGTTCCAGCCGGGCACTGGGAGCGGGTCTCACTGACGGACCCCATCTCACAAGCCAGACTTTACATTCAAGATCCTGTCGGCTTCAATGTGGCCGAATGTCTAAGATCTAAAGACACTTCAAAATGGAAAGTGAAGTTCCTTCTGATGTCCTGACCAACAACTGTCCGCAAAAATATGTCAATCATCCGTGAGGCCAGTTTTTGGGTCCTCGCTGGCTACCACGTTTGCGATAAATACAGTCATTACACTTGTCTATAAATACTGTCAGCACTTTGGGGAAGTTTTGACGTGGCACAGGGCACTGAACGCAAGTCAGTTGTTTTCTCGTGCCGGAGTAAAGTGCCTCATTTTTTGATGAACTCGTTTTAAAAACTTGGGTGTAAGAGATGCGCGCTTTGACTTCTGTACGTGCGAGAAATTGGGTGCAGAGTTTGTGCTGCTGCTGTAGCCCATCCCCGCAGCTCACACCCTGTGGAATTCTGGCCCGCCAGTGCTAATGTGTGGCGGAAATCCATTTAATTGAGCTTTTAAAAATGTGCTGGCTTCGCACAGCTGAATAGAATACTAAAACAGTGCTTCAAGGCACAGGAGCTTGGCATCTATGTCAATGGAACCTGACTAATTAACATTTGGCCCATTGTTCTAATGTGGAATAGTGGACATCGGATGCACACTCTCTCTCTCTCTCTCTCTCTGCCACCGTAACTGTCTTTCTCTCTCTCTCTGTGTCTCTGTACCTGTCATTCTCTCTCTCTCTATCTAGTGACCAGCTGAGTTGTCCTGCACCCATTTTCTCCCGCAAGCAGAAGTCCTTCATCTCATATCTGTTTATTGCACCCTGGACTTTGCTGTACACAAATGGCTGCTGCTTTTTATTCCAAAAGTAGTCACTACACCAGCCAATAATTATCCGTGAAGTGCTTTGATAGGTTTCAATGTGCTGAGGATCTTTGTGTCATAGCGCGTTGCTAATACCCTCAGAAAATCCGATTAATACCATATATACAGGTTAATGCTCCTATAAATGCAGGTTAATGACCTATGCGTAAAGGTTAATATTCCTATAAGCTCCGATTAATATTTCTAAGCAAGACAGTGAATAGGCCTATAAAACTGTTTAATGTTTTCATGTGTACAGGTTAATACTCTTATACGTTGCAGTTAATATTTCTACAAATGTGGTAAATCAAGGTCGTTATTCTTACAGTTATATTAATACTCAGACTGGATGAATGTTGATGTCAATCTATTAATTGATATTGGAAATTACATGGGGTGGGCGGGGGAGATTGCTTCTTTCGTATGTCAGTAGACCGGACAGGACCTGACATAGTTATTGTTAAATCATATTAATAATAATCTTTGCATTTGATATAGCTCCTTATCACGCCGTTGAGACGTCTCAAAGCGCTTCACGGAATATACTGTAAAGTGTATTGATTGTGTGTTTTGTGAGCTCTGTGTGCCTGTGCTCAGCCGCTAGTAAAGTGTCATGGAGCAGATTGTGCGAGGGCCAAACTTGTTTAACCTACAGGAATGCGGACTCAAGGTTTGCTGTGTTAGCTGTATGCAGTTCCTGTTTATTCAGCAGGCGAGTGACTTAATCAAAATACAGTCAGCCATTTAGATTATGCCAGCTTTTCTGTCGCAGGGAGAGAGAGAGAGAAAAATACTCCACAAGTCTCCTGAGTTTCAGAGCACTGACTCAGATCTAGCATGTTGAGTGTGGATTTCTGTTATTAATGCACTGACACCAAACTGGACCTCATCTGCTCCGAGTCCATCAGATTTTCCACCCTCAGCCTTCAGCCTGTTAGCAAAGTCAGCTGATAAATTGTCTAATTACAAAGCGATTTTTTTTTTAAGAAACATATTTTACAACGTGCCTTCCAATGACAGGAGCACCGACATAGAGCTTGCTCTGCCTTCCATCTGGTCTCCTGACATAATAATCCTTGCATTTGATACAGCGCTTTATCACGTCTTCGAGACGTCTCAAAGCCCTTCACAGAATATACTGTAAAGTGAATTGACCGTATATTTTGTGGGCAAAATGCAGGAGCCACTTGATATCAAAACTCATCCAGGACTTGGTTGATTCTGGAAGTGGGATAGTTAACAGCTATGGGACATCGTCTGTTATTAACTTTTTTAATCATTACAAAAGAACATCTTTAATTCTCTGTGACTCTTCACCCTGCAGGTGGTGAAAGGCCTGACTTACCTGTGGAGCCTGAAGATCTTGCATCGTGGTACGTGATGTTTTTTTTTCATCAAATTTCCACAGAATGCTTATTTTTTGCTTGAAATAGTTGAATAACAAGACGGACTTTCATCACCGGGGTCAAGTCTAGATCACATCCATTACTGTGTTGGTTCAAGTGTGTATTCAGGAGTTATCATAGCATCCAGTGTTGGTTAAGATCAAGGTTACTTGTTGCTGAGTTAACTTCATCTCAGTCTCTGGTTGTGTAGGAAATGCCTGTTAATTGGGACTCTTTGTGGAAATAAATTTCTCTCATTTATCAGATCCTCCCCATTAAGCCAAGCCCATCAATATTGATCCACATCTCCACGTTAGCCACATCCCCATTAACTGGCGCCAGTTATATATATATATATACAAGCTTTCTAAACCACAGCGGTGTCGTCTTTAGGTGATGAATAAATAAAAGCTCTTGCGTTGGGTTCTCCATTTCTCTGATTGAGCAGCTCGGGTGCTTACCTGCGGAGGGTCCCAGCGCACTGTAACCAATTGGTGTCTGTATCTTGTCCTTAAAGGCATGGATAAGATGGACCATACGCAGTGCCTGCGAGTGTCACTTGCCCACAGAGCCTGGGATAGTCACGCGGAGTCACTGTGTGTGAGCTTGAAGGGCTTGTAGTTGGACGAGGGTTGAGACCATTTGAATCTGTGAAAGGATAAATGTGGTTAACAGAATGTGAAGCTGACCGGAGAGCCAGGCAAGCCGGCTGAGTTGCTGTTGACTCACCAAAACTAGCTGCTGGCAAAGGTTAACGAGGCCCAAAGCTTTTCGATCTGAGAGCAGTGGCCTGATGGTTTGTTGCAAATCTTCTTCACCACTCATCCACTGACTGCTTGGGTTTAAATGAGGTGTAAGCAGGCAAAACGGCCGAGACAATCTCATACACACGCCCTTTATTAACCCATAATATTGCCAATTCAAAATTCCCGTACCGGTGACCAAGTTAAAATCGATTGCTGGAGTGCATAACTATCTTTGGCATCTGTCATATAAACTGTCCTCACAGGTACTGAGGTTCCCTCTTGGTCTGTGTGTGCTCGCTTGCATACCCAGTCTCGCTCGTGCTTTATTCTTTCTTGTTTAAGCGCTTTGGGACGTCCTCCCGACGTGAAAAGCGCTATATCAAATGCAAGGATTATTATTATTATTATTGTTTTGCTGGCTGTTTGATGGTGATATTTGCACTTTGAGGTATATTCCCTTTATACAGTATATTCTGTGAAGTGCTTTGAGACATCTCGAAGACCTGATAAGGCGTTCTATCAAATGCAAGGATGATTATTATTATTATATTTCAAATCGGTGACTTTTTTTTCTTTGCAACAAAACACTTAACAAAGGTCCAGGAAGAATTGATTTGAACCAGGGAGGGGAAGAGAATCAACTGATCATTTAAATTAATTCCCATTAAACCTCTGGGTAGTTAGATTGTGCGCTTTTCATTATAAACTGAAATAAATGCGAAGGGAAAGTTATTTTCTCCACAACAGTAACGTTTAGTGAAAACCTGTCACAAAGAGTGATCATTAACTTGAATATTCTTTTGTTTATTTCTGTCTTTCTCTTGTTTGAATACTTTTTGTTGTAACACTAAACGCTGTTTCCACCATCGGGGATTCATCCCCGAGACTCACAGTGTGAAAGGATGAATTAACATGCAGGGTTCAAACAGAGGAAACTGAAGTTAATGACTCTGTGCGTGTGTGTGTATGTGGTGTGTGTGTAGTACGTGTGTGTGTGTGGTGTGTGTGTGCGCGCGTGTGTGTGGTGTGTGTAGTATGTGTGTGCGCGCGTGTGGTGTGTGCTTACGTGTAAGTGTGCGTGCACGTGTATGTTTGTGCATTGTAACTCATCAGCCAAAGAACATTTGAAGTGAACACGGTTCCAGAGCTCATTTTTTTTAAAATGTGGCCACTCAATCCATGACTGTTTGTGGGACGCTGCTGTGCGCAATTGGCTGCCGCGTTTCTCTCACAAATATACAGACAATTCACTCTACAGTATATTCTGTGAAGTGCTTTGAGACGTCCCGAAGACGTGATAAGGCCCTGTATCAAATGCAAGGATTATTATTATTATTTAAAAGAGTGATTGACTGTGACGCACTGTTGTGAAATTCTGGAGACTGGTTGTTTGTATCTCTTGTTTGCGCTGTGGGGTAGTTGAGCCAACGCCTTGTGGTGGGGTGAGGGTGGGTGGGGGAGAAGGAAGAGAGAGAGTTGACAGCAGACTCAGTTATCAACAGAACCTGTCGAGTTGTTTTAACTAATAAGTTAAATGATTTTTTTAAAAAAAGCATTATCTTCCAAACTTCTGCGAGGCTGTTAAATGGCGTCTTCTTCTTCTCGCCTTTTTGCCCGGAAAACATTAAGAGCATCTGAGCTATAATGAGAATTATTCCATATCCGTAACCTTCCCCCCTCTCTCCTTGCCGTTTCGATATGTTTTTTGTGCACAGGCAATCCTGCTCCATTGTAAAGGCTGGGGCACCAGGTGCAAGGCTTGCTGTACTAATCTAGATGCTTTTGTGTGGCTTTGATCCTCTGCGTTGCTGAAATCCAGCTGTAATTACAGAATCATTAATTTCAGAGGTGCTTTTAAAGGGTTTGTTTCTATGCCCCACTTTGGTTCCCTTGCAGATGTCAAACCTTCTAATATGCTGGTGAACACTCGGGGACAGGTCAAGCTGTGTGACTTCGGAGTCAGCACCCAGGTATGATGGGGACGGAGTGGGAGGGAGGGGTGTGGTGGGGGGTGGGGTCTTTATTTAAACCATCAAAGGCACTCTGGACGAGCACTCTCTCTCTCCGCAGCCCCCACACCTGGTCAGGGAAAGGCCTTTTATATTCACATTTAATCTCTCAGCGATTTTGTTTCATCACAATCCCAATCGTCCATTGTTTAACGGCAGCTAAAAAATTGCTGATATTGTAATTACTATTCAAGAAAATAGAGCGAGTTCATTGCTATGCATGTTGGATATGAAATTGTTTGGGCCCAGAACAAAAGGGAGGGCAGAACGCGTGGCGTGTCTGGGGAGCTGGGCAGGGCCTGCAATAGAAATTAATGTGCAGATCAACAATAGTGACGGGCATTTAGAAGGCGATGTTCAAAAATTTAATTAATTTCCATTTTTTTTTTGGCCCTGGAGAGACCTGCGGGGGTGACCTGTGAGTTTGCTTTGGTGTTGATTTGAATTCCAATCGGCCTGTTTCTCCGTCAAAAGAGTTTGGAGAAATAGAAGGTCAACGGTATATTAAAAGTTGTCAATGTCTATTCTCCCGGCACAGTTTTTGTGCTCTTTCCTTTTGTCGCTGTTTTAAGCAGAGAGCTCACGACAGTGCGCTTGTCCCCCGTGACCGAAGATTTTTCTGCATTCAGCCAGTCAGATATTTTCTGGAATCACATAGAGAGTCCATCACAGTATGGAAACAGGCCATTCGGCCCAACTAGTCCACACTTCATACCAGCCTTCACCCCTCCTAATCCCCTCTCCAATGTCCCTCTACTCCCTCCTTTCTCATGTAGGCAAACTCACTTTGAGGACTCTAATTTGCTTTTTTTGAGTGTGTGTGTGTGGGGAGGGGTGGGGGGAAGTGAGTTACCCTTTCTTCCCATTTCGCCGTCCTCCCTTCTCCCCATCTCTGTTGAGTCTGAGAAGCCGAGTGTTAGACATCCATTGACACACTCACTAAACAAAAGAATCCACCTGTCTTTTGGTTCTTCCTTGTAGCTGGTGAATTCGATCGCCAAGACTTATGTGGGAACCAATGCCTACATGGCGGTGAGTACAGTTGCCACAGATGCCACAAGTATGGTTAAATGGCGCCCACTTTAATATCACTGGGGTGTCGTTGGACAAGTTTGGACCTCTGCCGGCAATCACATTCATTCCCCTTTTTGCTTTTGGTGCTGTTTGTACTATCGTCCCACACATGCGTTGAAAACCACCTCTTCTCACCTGATAAATACCGTGTGAGGCCGTGCGCAGACCTGGGTTGTGCACTCACCTGGTTTTACTGTGCCTCCGAGCTTTGTTTCCATGGGGCGGGGGACGGGTGGGGGTGTGGTCTTTAATGCAGTGTCGGTTTCGGGTACATTTCACGCATCAAAATCCGCTCACCATCCACCTGGGAATTCAGGGGGATTTAAAAGCCAGGTTTGTCAGTAAGTAGGTCACGATAATGTTTAAAAGAATTCTACATCTCAAAAGCATTACCATCTGAATTAAATAGCTGCTTAAGTTCCAGTAGAGAATAAGGTCCTGCTTTGTGTTGCGGGGTTCTGTCGGACGTTTCAGGGATATTGAAGGAAGGGAACACTACAGCTTCCGAACGCAGGTACTTTTGACAAGTGTAAGTGGGGCTGGTGTACAGAGAGAGGGCAAGGAATAACACAGCAACCAGGAATCCGAATTTGGTATAATGCCTGTAGTGGTAGTCAATGCGACTGTTTGTACAGTGGACTGAACAGCCTTGTTCTGTGCTGAAAAATTGTTTGATTCTACAAACATGAGAAGGCCCTGTTCATGTGCAGCATCGCTGGTCTACCTGACCCCCAAGTCTGCAATTAATAGTTAAATGGCACCAAATCTTTCAGAAAGTTTAATTAGCCCGAAAACCGAACCTTTAAAACGCAAGGTTTGTTCATTAGAAGCGATATTTCCTGACTCTATCAATTTGTGGTAGTGCTAAGAAAATTGTCATGTCCCCAATTTAATCTTTGCTCGGGTTATTGGGTGAGGGCAAAGAATATCAGGGAGGGCTCAGCTGGGCAAATCAGTAAAGCTCACATCAAACACACACACGAGGCTATTTATATGATCGGCTTTGTGGCACTGTTAATTTAATGCATTTATTTTCACTTTGAGTGAAGAGTGCGAAAGTCCAGCTTTAAAACATCCCCTTTCCATTAAGTAAATTGCGGTTTACCTGGGGATCGCTGTGGAGTGTCGCGGCTTCGCCTGAGTGTAAGAGCTGCTTATTTGGTATAATTATTTTCAAATCAATTCAGGGCGGCTGAAACGCCAGAGAGAAAATTATCGACTGCTTTGTATCACACTTGCCCGCCTTTTTCCCTGATCAAAGAATTCTCCTTGAATGAAGGAAGTAGTATTTCTCACCCAGTCTGATCGCATTATAGTAATTACAGCCAGGTTACACAGCTGAGAAACGTCTCTGTAGTTTTGACTGACAGCAAAGCATTCACACCGACTAGTCTTAGGGTCGGGTTCGCTCGCTGCTGCTCTGTGGGGCAGTATCGAGAGAGCGCTTCACTGCTGGAGGTGCCGTCCTTTGGCTGAGACGTTAAATTGAGGTCCCATCTGGCTGTTCAGGTGGCCGTTAAAGATCCCACGGCAGTATTTCTGAAGAAGAACGGGGAATTCTCCCAGTGTGCTTGCCAGTGTTCGTCAAATCTAGATTAATTGGCCCGTCATCTCATTGCCGTGGGTGGGGAACCTCGCTGGAGCAGATTAGCTGTCGGGTTTTACTTGCACAACAAGTCACTACACTTTAAAGGGTCTGGTTGGGTGAAGCACTTTGAAACGTTTTCGTTGTGATAAGATGCTGAGCAAAAGTCACTATCGATACTAAGATAGTAATGTTTAAAAGGAACTGGATAAGTGTTTGAAGAGAATAAGTATAAAAGGGAGCGAGATCAAGTTTAAGAACTTTCCAAATTTCTGCGCATCTCAAACTGAAAGACAATAATAATAATTCTTGCGTTTGATATAACGCCTAATCAAGTTGTTGAGACGTATCAAAAGCGCTTCACAGGATACACTGTAAAGTGGATTGACTGGATTTTGCCAGCGAAACGCGGCAGCCAATTGCACACGGCAACGTCCCAATGGTGTTAAAGCTACAACCAGACAGAATTCGAGGCCTCTTAAGGAGTTTTTTTTTATTTCAAACTTAAATAGTTTTTCCTATAGCTGTGTTGATTTCAGGCCTCTCCTCTCCTGTTCCCATCCACTCACCAGTTGATCACTGGGTGCTTTTTTCTCCAATGCTCCCAAAGAATTGAAGGTGCAGTTTTATAACTTGTTGGGCTCCCCTTTTGACCTTCATTAATGTTGATTATAGCCAATTATCCTGGTGTAATTGAATGGGCAAAACTGCTGTATTTAATCATAGAACCTGAAGGTTAATGTAAATTGGGTTTGGAAAGTGCTGTAATGAGAGAACCTATAATTAAAGCTGGTTTCATCATCTTTCTTAGAAGAGAAACTTTTTGATTTTTCTCGCTGATGTTCCCTTTACCAGAATGTTTTTTAAAAAATTCCCACAAAAATCCAGTCAATTCACTTTATAGCATATCCTGTAATTCTGTGAAGAATTATTATTATTATTATGAATTGTAAATGTTTTGCATTGAGGAGCAGCTAAACCCATCAAATTGTTCACTCACAAATTATACAGTCAATTCACTTACAGGATATCCTGTGAAGCGCTTTGAGACGTCTCAAAGACCTGATAAGGCGCTACATTAAAGGCAAGGATTATTATTATTATTATTATTATTATACCGGTTCTTTCCTCTTCCCAGCCCGAAAGGATATCAGGTGAACAGTACGGAATACATTCAGACGTCTGGAGTTTTGGCATTTCGTTCATGGAGGTAGGTGGATGTTAGGTGGGTCTGTCTGTCTCTCTCAGCTTTAAGAACAAGTTGAATCTCCCTGAATACGCCTGTCCATTTTTCACACACTTACTTAGTGTAACGGCATCTTTCCCACTCTCAACACTTTCATCCTTCAACAAAATCACCTCCCAGCCCTCACGTTGAGTTGCTCTGCCATTGACACTTTGAGATTCAAGAGTGTAGCAAAGAGTGAGAGTCCCTCTGCCTTTCCTACACCCTCGCCTCTGCCCCAGCCTTTCTCTTGTCTTCCCCCCTCCCTCCCCTTAACCATCCACCTGAGATTAGAAGCTCTCTACCTGAGAGTGTAGATGGAAGCCCAGTCCATGATGCTGTGATGTACCAATGTATATGGACAGCAGAGAGTGGCTCAGCACCACCTGAGCCCAGGTCATGTACGTTACAGTAAATTCCAGGCTGGAACCTTGTCCGTAGAACATACAAAGCGATATTTACCATTAGTACCAATTTGTGGAGTTAACTGCAGTGGAATCGTGCTTCCTCAGACTGTGGCATTGTGTCTTGTTCTGTAGCCTGGAAGGCCAGAGGGCGGTGCTGGGGTTTCTCAGTTTGAATAACAGAAGGTGTAGTACATTGCTTTACCCCTCAGAGCTCCCGACAGAGAGGTGGCAAATATACCCACATGCTAGTGTAACGCAGCGTGGGTATTTCCCAGTGATTTGGAACAGTCAACCTCGGTCGGCAAGGCGTGCGGAGATATTAAGGGCAGTTGTTTGCATTATTTGGGTTTGTTAGAGGTCAGTGAAGCCATGAGTTAATAGAACCCTCCGCTGCTGCCTGTGCGCCTGGGCTGTGCGCTGCACACAGCAATTCTGCCATCACCATTGGGCACGAAATGATGATTATTAGTCATTTACATCCCCTGATCGGACTCCATAAAAAGCGACAGAACATCTCATCTCAGCTTTATATCCATTGCTCTGTTGCTGCGGCATTTCAGGCTGTCGGTCGGTGACTGAGTTCATATTCTTCTGAAATTAAATTAGGCAATTACAATGAATCCGTCAGACTAATAGATTGATTACACTTGCTTGCCGAGAAATAGCCAGCAGTTCACCTTCCGTGTCTCTTTGCAGCATTCTTCCTGTCTTCATAAATCACGTTAAAGGAAGCATTTATTTAAAATACTAATTAATGTTAAGTGCCTGTTTATGGTCCTAAGGCAAGCCCCCTAATAACGATTTATAATTTCTACATATGTGCTCAAAGAGGAAGCACTGGAGTGAGTGGTTTGCTATCTAGGCATGGTGTCTTACTGGTATAAACAGGGATTCACTTTACCCGCTCGGCAGCTCTCTCTCTCTTTCTCTCTCCCCCTCGCACGAGCACTCTCTCTCTCTCTCTCTCTCCCTCGGGCGCTCTCTCTCTCTCTCTCTCTCTCCCCCCCCACCACCCCCCCCCCGCGCTCTCTCGCTTTGCAGTGAGATGTGGAAAGGAGCAGAGTTTTATTCATTGCATTGTTCTGGTGGCACAGCAAAGGCACGATGGTGGGTTTCGTGTGACGCCTGTCTCACTTTGCCACAAATGCTTTGCAGTAATTGTTAATAATAATAACAATCCTCGCATTTGATATAGCGCTTTATCAGATGTCTCAAAGCGCTTCACAGGATGTACTGTAAAGTGAATTGACTGTATATTTGGGGGCAGAACGCAGCAGCCAATTGCACACAGCAGCGTCCCACAAACTGTCGTGGAATTGAGTGACCAAATTATTATTTTTTAAAACGTGGATTTGTTACAGCAAATGCCTGGACTTGTGCACCAGCTTGAACTGTACTTTTAAATGCTCAGAGACGCTACCCGCTGTGAAAGGCGCTATATAACTGCAAGTTGTTGTTGGGGTGTATGTGGGTGTTTACTCTAGACTTGTATATTGTGCTCTGAAACACTGTAATTTTGCCCACTGATTGTGGAATGTGTTTAATCCAGCCTGGGAGTTACTGTTCAGTGGTTATCACAATGCCCTCGTGTAGCCTTCAATCGGGATAATTTCAGTGTTACTTTCATTCAGATTTATTTTCCATCTAGTTGAGACCAGAGTACAGTATATCTCTTTGGAGACTATGTAAGGCTGGCAGTTAGTAATATGCTATAATTTAAGGTCTGGATTCAATGACAAACATAAACTACTCAATCTTCCGTCTTGTTACATTCAGGACTTCATCTGCACCCAGTGAATTAAATTGCCAAGTTATCATTAACTGCTCCCAAACAAAATCCACTTTCTATCTATAATGAAGACCGGAATCTCCTTGTAAACCCAGAAGTCCGGTTCTTCGCTGAGGAGAAAGAAGAAGCTTTGCTTGGGTTTTACACAAAAACTTTTCAAACGAATGTGATAATGTGATTTTCAGTCGTCTGCCCTCCAGTGCCTCTCAACTAGCCTTTATGTGAGCTTGAGGTAAAGCTTGATGTGAGCTTGATCCCAACCTGACACACTGTCCCGTTTTCTTGTGTATGAATGTCTCGTGGAGTCCCGTAGTGTAGTGGTTAGCGTATTCTACTCGCAAACGAGAAGACCCAGGCATGGCAAAAACCGTGGGCAACTTTCCTTATTCCACACGAGAATTACCTAGCAGTAAGTAGGTAATTTGGTCATTCATTCCATGACTGTTTTGGGGAAACTGCTGTGAGCAATTTGCCGTGACGTTTCACCCACAAATTACACAGTCAATTCAATTTACAATATATTCTGTGAAGCGCTTTGAGACGTCTCGAAGACGTGATGAGGCGCTGTATCAAATACAAGGATTGTTATTATTATAATGTCCCCTTTCCTGGCCGGTGTTGTACCTCTGACTGATGTTCCTTCTCTTTAACCCGGGGCGCTCACTCAAACCAATTCTAGGACCCCCCAGTGGATATTGTCTAGCTCAGCACAGACTGGGATCATTTCACGTCTAGTCGGCCAGCCAAGGCCACTGGGACACAGAGAGGGCACAGAGGGCAACCGTCTCTTAGTCTGGGATTTGCAACTTGGAGGGAGACAAACAGGGAAAGGAAACTGCCCCAGGAGAATAACACACCCACCAGATTTGTTTGAGGGGAGGGATGAGAGAGAGTGGTGTTTAAACAGAATAATAAACTCCTCAATATCAAATCTGAGGATTATTATTAATATCACTGCTGAAGATGGCTTTGTATAAATGTTGTCATTTGCTTTCCTGGCCAGCACTACAGAATCCCAACACATGTGCAGTATTAAGATTAGTTGCTATTCTCCCCCATCCCCCTAAAAAAATCATTTGATTTAAGTGAAACGTTAGCAGTTTCTGGCGAATCAGTTCTGTGCCATTTATGTTTGGAATCTTTTACACAACCAACACACATACACACACGGGCGCACATACATACATACACACACACACAAGATACATACACACACACATAGATACACACACACTGTCCACTCCCTACCCTGTAATTCTGTCAGTGGCCGACGTCTCGGGAGGAAGGTGCGAGGAACAATTTGCCTTTTGTTGTATTTAGTTAATTGGTATGTCAGCCGTCCCACAGAGGCCCCCCTTCAAGCGGTTTGAGTGATTCCGTGAGCGGAGCAGGCAAGGACAAAGGTTTCAGGGGAACACAATGTGTCTTGAGGTAGGTGAGTAACAGGCAAAAACAGACAGACAAGGTCACTGTCGTCAAACTAAGACTTGCTATTGAAGTCGAGATAATAGACACAACGCGTTAATGTTAATTCACCGCCTCAGCTACTATAACAGTCCAAGTGGGCAGCTGAACACATGTCACACTGGCGCTGATAGTTTATATTCTTCTCTCTATAAAAAGAACCAAGCAGGTAGATTGGTTCATACAGCAGGCTTTGTATCAATGTTATTAAGCGCTCTCCTGACACTATGGAATTCCAACTTTGCCATTTAATTTGTGCTGTAAATGTAACTCTGGACTTGGAGAGAGTCTAAATGTCCACAAGGCTTTTAGTTTTTATTTTGAAACCTGTGGAAATCTGATGAAGTCGGGCTCCATCACTGTTAAGCGCTCTGAGATGCTGCCCTGCATGAAGGGCGCTATATAAATATAAGTTGTTGTTGTTGCCTGTGACTGTTTCTCTGGGTTTTGTGTATTCTGCAGGAGATGAGGTAAAAAGGCAGGTTAGAAGATCTTCCTCTACATCAATGGTTGTTAGAATGTGGAATCTCACATAGTTGTCAAAGCCGACTCCAATAACAGCGGTTAACAAGGAATTGGATAAGTACGTCAGGAAAAATAACTTGAAAGGGCAAAAGGAAAGAGCAGGGGAATGGGATTAGAATAAAGAGCTCCAGTGGGGAGCGAGCACCAGCACGGACACAATGGGGGGAGAGCAGGGGAATGGGGTTAGAGTAGAGAGCTCCAGTGGGGGAGTGAGCTGTAAATTTCTATGATTCTGCAATTGTAATCATTCCTGCTGATCACTTGAAGTGCAGAGCGATGTGTTTGTGTGTTTTTCTGATGGCGACAGGAGTCAGAGGAGAGACGTAACATATTAGCAGCAGGCTAAATGCTTTAAGTGCTTTGCATAATTACAAGCAAAGCTTAAAAGTTATTCCCTGAACTGCACAGGGTGATGATTCTCCTTTCAATGATTTGAAGGGTTTTATTGGCGTTTGCTTTCCCTCGGAGCATCAGAAACATCCGCCTCAGGGGTTACAGTTAGCGAGCGAGTCAATGAGCACATTTGTCCTGCAATGTTTATATTTTTTTTGTGGGCAGTTTGTTTTTGTCCATTTGATTTGTACAAATTTCCAATAACTCTGGCCATCTCAAAGCAGGTTAGTTTCCATCCTCTTAAAACCAGCGTGAGCTGAAAATGAAACATAACATAATAATTCCCCCAATATTCAACCTTGGGCAGAAGGCATTCCCCCTCTAACTTGGTCGCGCTTTTAATATTATTATTTTTTTGGATGGGATTATTACCCCCGGAAAGCAATCGGCTAATTTACTAACATGTT